GTCTCACATGTTGCCCACATATTTGCATATTGTCCAATCTATTTGCCATGCATTGTTTATACAGCTGCAGCTATCTGCTGGTTGCTTTGTTTATTAACCTGGTTAAAAGCAGCCAATTAAGAATAATTAAATGCGAATCCTTTTCAAATTATTGGGCTTAATGCCTAATCTAATTAATAGTGAACAATATGCATGTTATCCCATTAAATATGTACACTTAATGCCAAAACTGTAAAGCTCTGAAATGCGCTCAAAAGTAGGCAATCAAATGTAAAGTTTTTACAATTGGAGATCAATTGCAATAAAAGACAAAATTTACTGAACGGTGGCAGAAGACTTGTTAAATAAAATGTAAAAAATAAGTTTTAAAAAATAACAATAGTAATAATTAACATGTAAAGCCTTCAATCAGAAACATATGATGATTTTAATATTTAAATAACAAAACAAACAAACAAAAAGTAAAATGTATATGAATACATTTCTCTTTTTTACGTATGTGTGTGAATATAAAATTTCATATTTCCAATAAATATGTTAGGCTCCACTACAGCTGCCTCAATCTGAATATCGTATCCCACATTGAATATATATATTTTAAAATTAATGAATGAATTATCAATTACAATGCATTTTATTTCATATACAGATCTGTAATTATTTCGAATTAACCATATATTTTCGCTGAAATTTCTTCGATTTTTATTTTTTTTTTTTTTTGCGTTTTTTTTGCATATTATATGGTAATTTTTCATTTTTTTCCTCAACATCCACACAAATCAGCTAGACAACCTGCTCGGCTTCACTTATCCTATAATCAGCTGGGTGGATGGCGGTTTGTGTGTGTTGGTGAGAACATGTGTGTGTGTGTGTGTAGGTCTCTGTGTGTGTAGGCGTGCCAGAGCATATATTCCATATACCATTTGGTCTTGTCGTGTCTTGTCATTTTCATCTGCTTCCGCGCTTCTTGTTCTTTATTTATTTTTATTAGCCCGCGCCCCGCTGGAAGCCAACTAGTATAGCTGGGCGTGAGCCACGCCCATCGTGTAATAATAAGAATTTTCTATTTATCAAGTGACACAAATCTTGATTCAAGTGTCTGCTGAGCCCTGACTCAGTTGCAGTTCCTCTAATGATAATGCTTAATTTTTTTCGAGAAGAAAATTTGCTCGAAATTTGTTTTTGATTGCAAATTTACGAGAGTAAGATAGAGAGAGGGAAACAGAGAGTGTGATTGACAAGTTGATACCCTGTAATGTGTTAGCTTAGGCCTAAGACGAATAAGCTGTTAAACAACTGTCAGTTGATTGGCGGTATTCCTGAATATGTGTTTCATGTTTTCTTTGCATTATCATGGCTATTTTCTACTGCTTAATTTAGATGGGTTTTTGATGAATCGATTTGTATTGTAAATTTATCTTCCTTCCAATATGTATAAATAGCTGTCAACGCTCTTTGCCAAATTTGTTCTCCAATTCTCCCTAGTCTCGCAATAAACTCAAATCAAATAGAGCTTATCAAACATATCGAATTAAAGAACAATTTCACATCAGCTGTAGCCCTTTGCTTAGCTTCAAAGTAGCTAAATATTGTAAAGCTCCCACAAGGACTCGACTAGCCTAAACTTTGGACTCAAAGGATTGTCGCCGAACGAGGACAAACAAACAAATATAAAAAAAAAAAAAAATTGATTGACAATTATTGATATTTTATGAGCGGGCCGCCTAAAAGTTCTTGTCGATGTAAATTTGATGTGGGCATATTGCCTGGCATTAAAAAGAAAACCAG